GCGGAGTATCTGTGGAGCTGGATGGTGAGAACTGGCGACTTTCTAGTGCGTGCGTTTGACTGGAGGACGCGCATGTTGGAGAGAACGTGGACACTCCTATAGGTAAATTTCTTCTTATAGGAAACTTCCGCCGCCGGCTTGCCCGGGAACTACTTGTATATATTGTAGTAATTATATTATATTATATTATATATTGTATATATTACATATTATATGTATTATATAAATATACATATACGGGAGATAGAGAGGGAGAGAGATCCTGCAGCTCAAAGGTTACGAACGGATTTGAAAACCTTCAATTCCATTTCTTATCTACTACAATATGGCCAATGGGGTGTAATTGTTGATGGCGGTTGTTAAGTTGGCTGAACGCTTAAGCGGCCTAATTTGAGCCTGCCTGGACACTTCTGCAGGAACTGTGTTTGAACCATTACCACAATTTGTTTAGGTAAATAGAAATCAGAATCAGATGTGATCTCCAGAGCTTTCAGGTCGGCAGTTGCATCGTTCATTCCATCGGCTTAGGCAACATATTGCTCCTGGATGCTCCTGAGTACACCGGGGTGGTGCTTGTTTTGAGTTTGCCAGGCTTGGTCTTGCGGTTCTTTTACAGCAACACTTTGTGCAATTTAGATTTCTGCGATCAGTCTGCGAGTCTCACTCTGCAACATGTCTTGGGTTTGTGGACGCATTGGACACAGCAGCGCGGCCAAATCACAAGTCTCATGTACTCGTGAAATCTCGACAAATAATATTGAACATTGGTTCTGCCAAATTGGGGTTGCGGTGTGAGGATTCAACATCTTTCAGCAACTTATATTGCCACCAAACAACCAATGGGCTGTCCAACACAGCGCAGTCCTCCCAACCAATGGCAAAGAGTCTATTCATATATGTCATTCCTCATGACCCGCCAAACTACCAAGTGGAGCCAAACTACTGACACGAGGATGGGTCACCCCAAACTACTTGTGTGTCTTTTGTCCGCTTTTGGCCATCACGAGTTGGGCCTGAAAAGCAATCATTCATCATTTAAACTTAAAAACATGTTGAGGTCTTTCAAGCACCCAGAACTCAGTGATTTCAGTCAAAGAATTCTCATAGCCCACACACACAATTCAGAATGGAGCCTAGGTCAACAATCAACTGTTTGCAAAATGCTGTGCTGGAGGGCCCTTGTGAAAACCATGCCATGCTTGGATGCATTCACCTGCTTAGCTGCCATCAAAAAGAATCATTTACGCTGTAAGGCACGCAGTACATGTGATTGTTGCAGTTGCACAGTAACATAAACACACCTGTTTAATGCCAGTAGCCTGGACTTGTTCCGTGAAGATCAAATTGTATTGGAAACATGTCGGTCCACCTTTCGATCGCTTTTGTGAAACTGGCCGAAACTCCTGTCAATCAGATCGAGAAAATAGAAAAGAAGTACATAAACTCAGCAACAACGGTGACAACAGCCACAAAAAACTATGAACTCATGTGTCCAGTCCTCTTCAGCTGTCAACAACAAGTCAGAAATGAAAGGTAGCACCTTGAGCTTGAACTTGGATTTTGTCAGAAACGCAAAACCTTGCCTTGCCTGACCAACAGGTGGCCGTGCTGTGTGCTCGACAGTGTCACATGGTGCCTGCGAACCAGGAC